TGGGATGTTCCCAGGGATGGGGCCTCCACCGCCTCTCTGGGCAACCCCTTCCAGTGCTTCACCACCCTCAGTGTAAAACATTTCTTCCTTATATCTAGCCTAAATCTCCCCTCTTTTGATTTAAAATCATTATCCCTTGTCCTGTTGCAACAGGTCCTACTAAAAAGTCTGTCCCCATCTTTCTTAATAGCTCCCCTTCAGTACTGGAAGGTTGCAATAAGGTCTCCCCGGAGCCTTCTCTTCTCCAGGCTGAACAACCCCAACTCTCCCAGCCTGTACCCGTAGCAGAGGGGCTCCAGCCCTCGGATCATTTTTGTGGCCTCCTCTGGCCCCGCTCCAGCAGCTCCGTGTCTCTCTCGCACTGAGGACTCCAGAGCTGGACGCAGTGCAGAACCAACACTACTTTGAGCAGTAGTTTTACTCCCTAAGGCGAACGGATGCTTTCTGCAGCGTGTGCGTCACGTGAAGACACCCAACCTGCTCAGTGTCCTCCGTTGGACTTGAGCTTTTGTGGATGCAGTCGTGTGTGCTCATGTTCCTCTGCACCAGCTCATCCATGCACATCGAGCGGTGGGCCCGTGAGATGGTCATCAAACACCTCTCCTGAATTCCTCGTGGTTAAGTCTGGAGGTTTTTTCCCCGCCTCATTGAAAGAGGGGCGAATGTATCTGTGCTCGTGTCATGTCTTTACATCAAAAACGTCATGACAAGGATCAGAGATTCAAGCCACTGTATCACAAATTCATCTGAAGCCAGATCAGAGCATCCCTTAGCTCTGGGCAAGCCTTGTGCTGGTGGCAGCTACAGTTGAACATTTCCATTGAAAATGTGGCTTCTGTGGGTTAAATTTGCTACGGGCAGTGTTTAACCTGACTGAAAATGTTCTTGCAAAAAGAGAGGGTTTGGCTGTTTACAGAGACTGACAGGTCTGCCCCTGCTCCCAGCACCAGGAACGTGCCGGATGCAGGGTTTGGGAATGAGATTTGTGAAGCTGATGTTTTGTGGACTGGGAAAATTTTGGACAAGATGAATAAATTCTTTGTTCTGCAAATCAAAAGAAAAAAAAAAAGATTAGGCTAAAGTGGAGATGTCAGGGGAATAATCAGTCCCGTTGTTGAGGCAGCTCTTGTTCTCATTTCATCATCAAGTTTCAAAAATCAAAGATTTATTTATTTTTTTGAACACTTGGTAGTGCAGCTTTGGCTAAGGAAATCAAGTCACTGCTCAAGGGGATGTGCTAAGCTTCAATTTTTAGATATGTCTAAATATCTAAATATTAGATAAATATCTAAATATGTAAACATTAGATATGTTTAAGTTGTGCAACGTGTTAAACTAGCCGCAGAGATCATTTTGTATATTCTGTATATTCAGAGGCCTATATTGGTTAGTCTGGAAAAATTTCAAACGATAGGATTATTATGTCTTCTGTTGCAGGGCTATGGCTATATGTGGAAGAGGTGGTCTGTTCTTTTCCTTAAAATATAGTGTAGGTTCATACCCTGCATAAAATCCTAGCACAGCTTTTGGGTGCGTGTCTTTCTGTTTGCAGAAAGCTTTCTTGTGGTCCAGGCTTTTTGCTTCTATGGCTGATAGTGTTCTACCTAGATTAGCAATTTTAAAGCTGTTAATGTCTCCGAGTTGTTAACTCTGCAGAATAGTCCAGCATATTTTTTTGTGAGAGTGTGTGTGGGCTTAAAAGTTTTTACAGAAGATCAGAGACTTTGAAAATGTTGCAGTCTGCTTTGAAAGAATTTCTCTGGGGGAGTAAACTCCGTTTTTGGCAATATCCTGATTTCACAAATCTTTATCAGAAATATTTCTCCGTGGACCATGTTCAACTAGTGCCCCAAATCCAAGAGGAGCAAAACCGTTTGATCCTGAATTCAAATTCATAGGAAAACATTGCCTGCTTTGATGATGTTGTGAAGGGATGACAGATTTCCCCTCCCTTAGAAAAACCCAGGGTGGACTCGGGTCCATCCAGCCCAGCTTCCCCACGCTGATGGTGGTCGACGGAGGATGGCTGGGTCGAGCGAGTACCGATACTTCCCTGTCTGCTTCGGTGATCTCCAGCAGTTTTGCGATCGGGCATTTCTGAGCCAGAAGCGTTCTACTGTTTTACCAACTGGAGACCAGTTACGCTTAACGCCGGAGGAATACAGCAAGGCAAAACCTGTATCCACAAACTAGCTGAAATCTGGATTTGGGAGCTGTTTAGGGAGCATTAGAAGGCCCGGGAAGCTGCAAATGGAAAATAAATGACCAGGAAGACGTGATAAAATTGGCATTAACACAATAAAACTGCTGCCTAGGGTTTGCGATTGTCAAATATAGTCTTATAAAAGGTAGGAGATGTTAGTGAGACCGGTGAGCTGTGCTTCACAGCTGCTTGCCCTCGGTTCGGCTGTAACCCTTCTGCTGGGGCGTCTCGAACAGCCGGGTTCAACGTGGGGAGGCTCACAGAGGTGATGCCAGCCCCATCCCTCGCTCAGAAACCTTCCTGCTTCCTGGTGAGCCAACCTTGCCCGGCCGCAAGAGCTGCTCCAACGGCACCACGGAGCGCCCGCTGCAAGGGAGGGAAGGAAAGCCCAGTGAGACGGATGAGCGGGCTCGTGCCGTACCCCAAAAAACCTCTTTGCCGCTTTCTTCCTGACTGAGCCAGTCGGCTGCTTCCCCTCCCTGCACCGCCAGGTTGGGACTCAGGTTTTTGGGGTCTGGGAGCGACGCTGGTGATGCGGGATGGGACGCTCCCGCGCCGCGCGTTGCTGCTCCGTCTGTCTCCGTAGCTTCTTTCATCGTTTCAGCTGTAACCCAGAACCTGTGTAGCGCTGAGGACTGAGCTTCTTTGCGTGGAGCGGATTCTTTAACAGCTCCAGTTCTGCCTTATACAGAGGCTATTTAACAAAATCCCCTGTTTTCCCTTCCCAGCCCCTAACTTCTGCACTCGCCTGCTTGAAGCCATCGTTCTAGATGAGGAGGACCGCTCACCCCAGGCGCTTTGGGCAGCGTTGGTTGAGGCTTGCATACCCTCATCCAGCTAGAAACTTCTCTCTCCTTCATCCTACCTCCTCTTTAGCAGAAATGCCTCTTAAGCATAATTAAAAATATATAAAATAAACATGTTTCCCAGGCCTGTCCATCGGTCCCTTTCATCTTTCTCCGCTTTTTTCCACCACATGTCAACAGAACACTCCCCTTCTCTCTGGATTTTGGGAGAGAAGGAGCGTTGCCTTAGCTTTATGCCTTGGCCAACAAGCTTAATACCGTGTTGGCTTGAACATATCCAAAGGACACAAGCTTCTTGTATGCAAATTTCTTCTCTGATCTTTCCTCTCGCCCTCCCTCCCTCCGTCCCACCCTTCAAAAATGCGCTTCCTTGTCCCTGTGCAAGACTCACTATGTTGTTGAAAGGTGGTGGAGTCTGTGTGGCGTGGGTTTTTTAAGAAAAACAATAAAAAAACCCATAGAACTTGTGCTTTTAAAGAAATCAAATTAGAAATCTAGAGAATAAGATTCCCCCTCCCCCCCCGTTGCATAAGTACCGGAACAGCTTCTGCCAGGATGCTTGAACTTGTATTTAAGCTTACGTTCAAAATTAAATCTCTGCTGAGCTGGCTAACGGAGGGCCAAATGCTGCAATGTGTTTTCCTAGGGGAGTGTAAATGGGGTGAGAGCAATATGAAGTGAAATTTTCCTACTTCAAGAAACTTGAAGAAATGTAAATATAGTCCGATATAGATTCTTATCTATACCAATCTATATATCTATACCAATAATCACTCTAATTGTTACATACCTGAAATCTCGGTGTCGCTCTCTGTCAGACTTGCATGCATCGGAATTGCCTATGTGTGATATATTGCAGTTGCACTTACCGATATGTGTTGAGAAGATTTCACACTGATCTCCTGCTGTCTTTTAGGTGCCTGGGGCCCAGGACCTGGTGGACTTCTCGCCGGTGTACCGATGCCTGCACATATACTCTGTCTTGGTAAGTGACCCTGCTGCCCATGGGACTGGTGCCGACGCTGGGCCGTGCTTTAAAGAAGACGATGGGGTGCTGCTCCGTCCGCCGATGCTGCTGGAAGGAGGTGGTTGCAAAACATTTATTAACGTTCACCTAGCTAGGAAGTGCGTTACCTGAAGTAGAAAGTAGGCCAGTGCTGGATGGATTTGGGTAAAAACCACACAGTTACTTCATGCAGGCCATAGAAATATAAAGGGATATTTTCTCCAACTATTGCAGACCCTGGGTTTATAATAGACATATTTCTTGGTCATAGAGTTTTCTTCCAAGAATTCTTCTTTGACCACAGTAGCTTCATTATTCAATGCAAATGGAGCAGTTGCGGGGGGGAAATCGGTTTTAAAGGTATTGTTTGCTGTGCGTAGGAGAGCTTTGCCGCTCTTCAAACATTGTTTGACAGGAGCAGATTTGCTGCTGTCCCACCAAATCCAACACTTGACTGTATCGCTCCCAATTTCCCGATAGTTAGGCTTTGCGTGCACGGAAAAATGTGGCCAAACTGAAACTGTTCTGTTGTTGGTGTTTGGTTATTAGCTAAAAAGTGTTCCTCTGAACTGTGTCATGTTCTTGAGAACTTTTCAAGAGAGCTCCCATCTCTGCAGGTGTGGGCTGCTAGAGGAGCTACGTTTTCTCCTAGGCATTATGAGTACGTGAGGTATTGATTTTTTTTTTACTTATTTATTTATAACAAGGGCAGATAAGATGCCCTTTGTAGCTTACCCTTCAACTTTTAATTTCTAAGATGCTTCCAGCAGTGTACAAGCCTTGCATCTGCGGGCCCAAAGAACCTGTGTTGTTTGCATCCGCTCTTGAACATCCTCTGGAGAGAGGGAACTTTCAGAGGGCTCTTCTCCTGTGGTTGAGCAATCTGAAGCCCAGGCAGCAGATGAAAGGAGCACTCTGTTCACAGCTTTCCTCCCTTTCCACGGCGGAGCCAGGCTTGAGAGAGAATTGTTTTTAAGGCACTTCTAAAGCTAGTTTCCCCACCAGTATGTACAAATGAATTTGCGAAAGGAAAAGAATTGTCATAAAAAACATTTATATAAAATCTTTTTGTGCCCTCATCTGTTAATAATTATGTAATTTGGCTACATTGCCATGATATTTTATTGGAATGAAAAAGTTAACCTCCCCAAAATGTGTTACTCTGTTTATCTTGGACAAAAACCTCCTCCTCAGACCCGGCGCTGGGAGCCCGGTTCAGGGAGTGTGCTAATTGAAGATTACGACTGGTCTGAAATGCTTTGTGGATTTCAAAGTGTCACTTTATTTGGAGAAACTTCAGTGAAGAATATGTCTAATGAGAACAGGATTAGGAATCCTATTTGTGTAGCTTACGTGCATTTGTTTAATGCAAGGGTATTTATTTAATGGTGTATTTATCCATAAAGCTGTTATGAAAAGGATGAAGAGCTTTCGCTGGTGGATGTAACAGTTTTGCACGTTTGAAATGGTCTCGTTTCTACGTCGGGGCTTTGTTGTTGTCTTGTTGCTTTACTTTTTAATCTGAAATAGGAATCGGTCCTCCGAAGCGTATTAGGGAAACGCTGCTGCTAGAAGACAGGTTTCGTGGCCAGCGCCCTGTGGTGGATCTGGATGGGGTTGTCTTCTGCTGGAGGTGGGAATAGTGCAGTGGACTCGGTGACGGCGACGTTGGACCTGGTGCAGGGGTTTCATGCCAGTGGGTTAGCGTCCTCTGTCCCCATCCCGAGCTGAGACCGTCCAGTCCTTCTCCCCCCACTCCTTCTCTATTTCAGCCAAAAGCCCTGGTAATGAGAAAAAAAATACACAGCAGAGCTCTAAAGAAGGTGTGTTGGTGAGACAGGAGCAAGAGAAAAAGGTAACCAACCATAGTAAGGGCTCCTGAAAAGAAAATTGCCCTTTTCCTGACCTGTGATTGAATCCTGCCCTGGCTTTCTAGGCCCAACTTGGGTTGAACAATGTCAGAGATCCAGCAAGCGTCGAGGGAAACAGCCACATCAGTGTCAGACGGAAGGATCATAATGTAATAGTTACCAAAAAATCCTAATATTTGTCATTTACAATAGCGTTATCTAAATGCTTGGCCTGCAGTTAAAAAGGCCCACATTGAATAAACATTGAGATATTTATTATTTTTAGTGAAATCGACCTTCCAGTCACCTCGGTTTTATGGCTGTGCTGCTTATAAATTCCCAAAGGATTATTTGAAAAATCCTACTCATATCTGCCAGCCTTATCAGCAGGGCAGAAGTTCACATATTGTAACGGGAGGTCAGCCTTCGGTCATGGTCTTACAGAGGGGGCCAGGCACCTGTAAATCCTTCCTTCAGCAACCAAGGCGAAGTACAATATCAAACAGGCAAGGAGACTTTTCCAGGAAACGCTGAACTTTCTCAGGAAGGGCAGAGGAGGGGGAAAGAAAGTGAAGGAAGGTCAGGCGGGGGTTAATTGAGAGTTGGACCTTGGCGCGGTGGCGGCTCCGGGGAGGACAGGCTCTGGTGGGATGCTTTATGGGACTATTCATCGCGATTCCTTTTCTTGTGAGAAACGGGCCGGCTGACGGTGTCTTGAGGAAGAAATGGGCGTGGGGGAGGCTTTGAATATCTGCAGATACCGAACAAAACATCACAAGAGTGTATTTGTGTGTTATACACGGAGTTGTACACGCGGATAACCCTTCTTTGCTCAAATAACCCTTTGATTTCATGATTTGGGTTTGTGTCCCTAAATGGTGCCTCCAACAACAAGTCCTTACCCTGCCTGTGGCTTCTGCATGCAGCACATGTACTCTGAATTGCGTGAAAAAAGGCGTTTCGGATGGCAGGTTTGGTTTCGAGTTGGTACGAATCGGTAGCTGCTGAACAGCCTCGGTGTCTGGGTGGGAATCCTGGTGATGTTAGACAAATGTGTGCTGTCCTTTTCCTAGGAAAATTAAAAAAAGCCTAGCTGGAACCGTGGATATGGTGGTTTTTCAGATGCCAGGAGCATCGTGTAAAAGGGTGAAGGGGGGAGCTGGCAGCAGAGCCGGGACGCGTGAGTTTTGGGGCCCGTCCTGGTCTCCTGGGCCGGTTGGCCAAGGTCCGTGTCGAGATTTAGCGGATCGTAAACGCTAAACCCCCCCTCGTTTCTGTTCAGCGGCGATGTGCTATTTAAGGACGTTCATCTGCAGCGTGGTTAGGCTGCTAGGCTGTTGGTATCAGGTATATCTTTTCCTTGAGTTAATAGAGAAGTTTGTTGAAAATGGTAATATTATTATATAAAGAAGAAACAAGGATATTTCAGTGAAGTGATTTTGCCATTGACGTTTTTATCTTTTATGTTGTCTTTGACCAAAGTCTATGTAATACTTGAGTTGCTTTGATCGATATCCAAAATAAATTAGGAAAGGTGAGGTTTGGGCCAGATGGTTTATCTGCTGGAGCATCTGAACAGCTGTTGGGTGCCTTGTATTTCAAGGCCAAGACATGGAATTGCTTTGCTTTACATAACATAAAATGAAAAGCAGTTTTTGTTTCATGTTTCCCGTAAACTGTAGCAAGGCAGAAAGCAAAGAGTGAACGAAGAGCAGAAAGGAATTTAAAAAAAAAAAAAAAGCCAAAAAAAGGCAGAGTGGTTTGCACAGAGGGTGCTCCCAAGAAGTTGTCTCAAAGGCAGCTGACGGTGATTTAAGTCGCCTAAGCTGCTGCTTCGGCCGGTGCTGTTGCCTGTTAGTACTCATTTAGGGTTTGCCTTAGCTAGGTGGGTTTTTTTAGCTTTATGCTAATTGGTTACCAATTACTTTGAGGTTCTTAACATGTTCATGAAGACACTGGTATCGACACTCCCAGCTCTTTGATCCGAGCTACAAAGGGGTCATTTTAGGGTAAAGAACAAGTGTCCAAAAAAAAAAAAAAAAAAAAAAGACAAGAAAAAGAGAGCAGATTCTGATGTAAATACAGGCTTAAAACTGTAGCTGCCTCCTAGTTGATGAAGTATTCCTGGAGAATCCCAGAGCTGGATAATTTAGATAAATAGCAGTTGACAGGTATTTACTATAAATTTGTCGTATCTCGCCACTGACGTTTTTATCTGCTCTATGGCTTCTACCCCAAGCCTCTCTAACCCTAAAGCTGCTTTGATGCACAAAATACATTAGGAAAGGTAAAAAAAAAAAGTAAAACAAATAATAAAAAAACCCCACTTTACTAAAAATAATCAATGTAGAAACGTCTTTAAGTTCCTATATTAAAAGGCATGCATTGTGCATAGACCGTATCCACTTGGTACATTTGCCCTTGCCTGTTTCAGCGAAGGATATAATGTTTTATATCTCTTAGCTGTGCGGAGCCAGCGCGGCCTTGGGAGGAGAAACTAGGGTTTATTTTTGCTTATCGCTAAAATTGCTAACATTTTGATTGCGGAAGCTGCACGGGGATTCATCGGCTCAGGGACTCAAGGTGAACTGTTTGGCCGAGGATGGGAAACACCACTTCGTATCTCCAAACCGAGCAGATTCCATTTGAAGTGGGAGATGCCGCAAATCCGGCGGCGGATCGTTAGTCTCCTCCCAGCCCTCCACTTAAATAATTTTTTTTTTTTTAATTCCTCTTAGAAGTGTGCTAGCGATTGTGCTGCCTGCCTTAATCCTCCTTTTTCTGCCCTTTGCGGGCTAATAAATTGGCAGGCTGTTGCTCATCTGCTTGCCCATGGTGGCTATGACGCCACCCGCACGCCAAAAAGGCGCTCCGGTAGGGGGACTCCAGCATCCCCACCAAAATGTTTGTTCTTTGGTAAGGGGGCAAAACAATTGAAGTTCTTCTTTTCAAGGGATGAGAAAGCCTCTTATAGGAACCACAATTCAAACAATAAGAGCTACCCAACCCTCTCTTTCATATGAAAACTTCTCTTTTTTTTTTTTCTCTTTGTAACAGTAGTTGTTTCTTTTATTTGATACTGAAACACAAACCGTACCATGGAAAGTCTGTGGTTTACTTCTATTTTTG